CCTCGCGCACCCTGGCCAAGCACAAGCTCGAGCACCTCCTCTTCGTCAACGACCGCCTGCGTGAGTACGACGCCATCACCGACCTGCTCGACGTCTTTGTCCACATTGACGCCGAGGACACGTCCTACGCCTACGACTGGCGCGCCCAGCAGGAGGTCGCCCTGCGCGCCGAGCGCGGCGCCGGCATGACCCCCGACGAGGTCGTCAAGTTTGTCGACGGCTACTACCCCGCCTACGAGCTCTACGCCGACGCCTTGCGCAGGGGCGTCTTCCCGGACCGCCCCGAGAAGCAGGTCAGGATGGTGGTCGGCAAGGACAGGAAGGTCAAGGAGACGCACGTCATCTAGAACCAACCTCTAGCGTATCCGTCAATTCTCTACAATCAGTCCTTCCAGCCTCGTGCCATAATGTACACTTGCGTGGTCCATCGTCTTGTTGACGGGCCAACATGTCGTCCTCGACCCAGGTATCATTGTCATTAGTCGTGTCAGTCGTCAAGTCCATCATGTAGCGTGCCTCAGTCTGCCTTGTCCGCCAGCATGTCCTCACCCTTGCTCTTGATCTTCTTGAGCTTCAGGTTGATATTCTCCGTCCGCAGCCGGACAGCTTCCTCGCGGCTCGCCAGCTCCGTCTCAAACGTCTCCACTGTAGCCCGCTTATTCTGTCGGGTCTCCTTAAGCTTCTGCGCCACCCGGCCAAACTGCTCCAGAAACCAGTCGCCCGATCGCTCCCAATCGCCCAGGTCAAGCTCGGCGAAGAACTGCTTTTGCTCCGTGATGCTCTTGCTCCGGTAATGCTCCAGCTTTTCGGGTAACGTCTCGCCGACGAGGGACTTGTCTGCCCCGCTTGCGGCTTGGGCGGGGTCCGCGTCAAAGGGCTGATTCTGCAGGTCCGAGTAGCTCATGCGCATAAGAGTCTTGTCATCATAATCGACGTTGTTGCGATCGCGCTTCTTGCTCTTGCCGCTGACAGTGATGACTCGGTTGGCGGCCCAGGTAGGTGGAGGGTCGTCCGAGAAGACATCGGCCCTGCGGCCCTCTCTCTTAAGAGGCCGAGGGGTGCCGGGCTCCTCGTCACTAAGAGGCATGTCAGACCGAAGGCTCCTCACATCAGAGTCGGCATCATTGTCAAAAAAGGCCGAACGTGGTTGGGCTCTGGCTTGGTCTCTGTGTCCCTTCGACTGGTGCGGCAAAGGCCTGTCACGACTCGGCGACTTTCGGTGTTCCTGCTTGATGTACTCTTCTCTGACAAGATTGGAAACCTCGGGAAACGGCTTCAAAGGATTCACGTTATGAATTGGAAGCTCAGTCTGCCGTTTTGTTGGGGACGGGAGGAACCCCATGCTTGGGTCACCCATCCAACGAGGTCGAGAGTTGTTGCCTTGCGATCCATCTCGCATTCCGTTGTGGTTTCCCAGCCCGTTTGCATGCAGGGGCCGAATGGGTTCTATGTAGCGCGGGGGGCTCCTCGGTACAGCCACGGTCGAGGCTGCCCGTCGTGTGATCCCCAGGTCATAGTCTCGTTCACGATCATTGTCCTGTGTTTCGGCCGAGGTAGACGTGGGCGAGCCTACTGGTGTGGCGATGGCGGATGGCAACGAGGGCGCCCATAGCCGATCAGGGTGGTCGGCTGAGTTTGTTCGTCGTCGGGCGAGGAGGCCGCGAGGCGGGTTAGGGAGTGCTCCGACTCCGGGAGAAGATGGAGGCTCAACGGTGGGAGCGCCGACTTCACGAGGCGGGGCAGAAGCGCGCAAAGGTGCCGACGCTCTAGGTAGAGGCATTTTGATGGAGTCCGCCATGGCGTCCCGCGGATTGGAAGCGGGTGGAAAGTATGTGCTGGCACCGTTATATGTTTGGTTGGCGTTTGGGTCAGGCAAGCCACGGGCATACTGCGCCATTCTACTGATGCTGTTGCTGGGCGGCATGATGCCTATGCGTCGTCGCCACGATGATCGATCCGTTTGTCGGGGCTATTTGACAGTTGCGCTGCGGCCGATTGCTGCACTGAATTGGGGCACTCAAATCTCCTCGGCGAAGTCGGATCTGGTGAATAGCGTATGGTGTCGCCAGCAAAGGCGTGAGACAAGACGGCTCCAAGGTGTTCCAGGTGCAAGATGTTTGTCTGATGATTCAGTGTCCCGGAAAGGGAACGGCGAGTAGAGGTGAAGAAGAGTGTCCTGCGTGAGTGCGAGGAAGGTGGTGTGCTGTGGTTGGAAGCAGGGACAGCATCACGCTGGTCGTGGAAGCAACTGTTGGAGGAAGTTGCCAGGCGCGTTGACAGGTTGATTTGGCTGCCCATCAGTTGACAGGGGACGCGCTCCGGCACGTCTTGCCGCGAAGTCAGGTGTAATAGTGGGACGTCCTTCAGAGGGGGGCAGGGGGCAGGGGGCAGGGGGCAGGCGCCTTCGGCACAGGGGGGGCTTCGTGGGGGGTGCGCCTTTGTGGGTCCGAGCATTTTGCACCTCTCTACTGAACACCCTCCGACTTCTATTACCTTACACAGTCTTTCTAGTATACTTAAGGTACGGTAGATCCCTCTATGAATGCACCTCTTTTCCCGCCTCCTCATGACCACATGAACAGGATCATTCAGGCAAGTGCTTTCTTCATCATCACCAGAGGAATGTAGCTGTGTACGCCATCTGGGTTCCGCCACGGGAATCCCACCGGATCAATATAGAACACCTCATAACCCATCCGCCCATACCACTCCTCAGTCGTCTTAAACGGCTGTGACAGCCCCATCAGTCTCGTCCTCACGCGGCAATTTCGCGATAGTGTGCTCGTATCCGAAGAAGAAGAACTCACCTCGGGAATCGGCCTCCCCATGTCCGTGAAGAAGAACCTCTTCCACTCATCAGAAGACTGAGTCTCCTTCTGCGCCGTGTCCAACACAATGGTCGTCCCAAACAAGGGCTCCAGCTTGGCCAGCGCCTCGACCGCCTGCATCGACGCCTTGCCGATGCCGCCCGCCTGGATGGCCCACGAGATGTACAGGTGCTTGATCCACACGGACCCCTCCTTCGCGAGGCCCATGTCTGCGTCGTCCTCCGCCTGCTTCTCCAGCGCCAGGTGCCCGATCGGCCAAAAGGCCTGCCCGCTCGGCGCCCGCGGCATCAACCAGACGTCGGCCGCCGTGTCGCGCAGCGGCGTCGCTTCCATGGGGTATGTCGTCAGATGGTCTGACAGGAGCTTCTCCCGCCCAGGCATGGCATCGGCGAGGACCTGACCGACCAATGTCAGCAGCAGCAGCAGCAGCAGCAACTCATAGCGTGGGCCACCATGTTGTAGCAGGACGTACCACCCAGTAGAGGACTTTGCCGCCCTCCAGCTGCTTCTCTCGCCATTCGACCACCTCATCTGACCGCCAGCCGCAGGCGACGCGCTGCTCGAACATGCGGGTCGTGTGTTCATTGGAGCGAGCGTCCCAGGGGACGAGGCTGACTTTGCTGTTCGCATACAAGCTCATGGGATTGGACCTCATCTCGGCGTGTTGGAAGGTCCCTGCTGTGTACCGTTGCACGATTCCTACCGTCGCACAGCATGCAACCAATGTGGATGGACGACATGCTGACTTTATGTATGTCGCCCGTCAGACTCATAAGCTGACGGCCAGACTCAGCGCCAAGTCTGTCTCGTAGTGAACAGTCTTCATAGGGCAGAGGAACTTTCGAAGGGCGCGCCCGTGTCAGCGGCGCAGGCTAGGTTTGATTGGCAAGCCCGAGAACGACACAGTATCATCAGGATCCGTTGTGCATCTCTTGATGTAATCTGCCCGAAGGATCTTGTGGGAAATCACCCGAATGGTCGGGTTTGGCCGCCACACAAACGCCAGATCTGAGGCTAGCATACCCGACCCCAACCTCACATACTGGGAGTGTTGCACAAGACGCGACCGTGGCGTCAGCTTCTATCTCCCATAATGCAACTTTTCCGGCTGCTGTGTCACTTCATAAACTTGAAACTGTTGATATTTGGGGTTTGCGCTCCGTGATGCTGCATATCTATGTTTGCTCAAGGACCCCCAGGCTTGGCATCATCCTCTCATGTCATCGATGCACCATGTCTCTGAGATTATCTCCCCCGCACCCCCCAGTCCAAACCCCCGTCATCCAGCCCAGCAAACCGCGATCCTCCAACCCAGCCATCACTATGGCTCCAAACGCCCCGCCAATCCTGTCCACAGCTCATCGCGCTAGACCCACGAAGTGTCGAGCTTCCCTTGCCTCGTGGCTTCGTCTGGTGTTGATTCTCGCGAAGTGCTCAGCCTCATGTACCAGTCACCATCTACCATGAAATGAGCCAGGCGCACAGGGTACGTCTTCCTTTCAGGCGTGCTCGGGCAAGCTTCGACGCCCCCGCCATAAATCATCTCCTTGGTATCCTCTCCCACCGAATGCATGTAAAGACCAAAGACCACTTCCGGCTGACTCTAGCGGTTGAAGCGGAAACGATCTGCCTCGAGTTGACCGAGCCCGTCGCGAGGTGCGACATATCGCCGGCGGTATGTGTTGGTAAAGTCTTGCAGAAGGGCCCTGACCTGGCGCATGTTGTTCTGGTCACCGCCGATGCGCTCCTTGATCTTGATCATAAGCTTGTTCGCCTCGGCAGGCGTCACGGTGCCCTGGGGCAACAGTTGCAGCGTTCGCTCGACCCAGACAGTCGTCTCTGCGGGGAGGAGCTCGAACATGGAGAGCAACACACCGCTACCGTCGGCGAAGCAGTCGCGAGGGAATGTGATCATCATGCCAGCCAGCACCTGCTTGACGAGCTTTTCGCCGTGGCTGCCGAGGAGGCTCTTGACCATTTCCTGAATCTTCGCTGCAACGTCCGCTGGCAGCTTGTCCGAGGTGGCCGGGTTGTCACCGCCGTATGTCAAAAGATCCCGCAGGAAGTGGAGAGTAGCCGACAGCGGATCGCGTTGCTCGAGTGTAAGGGCATAGATGGCGGCCTCGTAAATCGGAAGCAGCAGCTCCGAAGGGATGAGCCTGTGGGGGAAGTAGAGCAGTGCATCAATGAGGAGACGGAAGAAATCCTCAATGACGTCGGGGAGCTCACTAGGCCGCAACTCGTTGAGCACGCGCAAGAAAGTCGTGGCTTGGGCCTCGAAGAAGGAGTAAATGCTCTGAGTGATGGCCTGGTCGACATGCTCGCGCTCCTCGGAGAACTCGCGCATGATGGCCGCGGTAACCCAAAGGAATGCGCCTTGCCTGGAGGCGGCAAATCCGCTGGCCAGCTTGTTTGCCAGCTCCGGCAGCAGTGGTGTCATGGCCGTCCTGTACGAGATGATCATGTTGCGCCAGCATCGGCAGATCCGCTCACAAATGGGCACAAAGTCGAGGAAGTTCTCGACAATCTTTGCGAGCACAGGGAAGACCTCTTGCCAGTATTTGACTGCCTGGTTCTCGGCTCCAGGAGCAGAGTACGGCTTGACGATTTGGACGAAGATGGTGATCAGCTGCACGTGGTCTGTGACATGGTTAGTGGACGAATTCCGACCTCATTGGACACTTCTGCTTACCTGCCAAAGCCACCTTGCCTTCCTCAGTGGTAGCATTGTTGGCCTTGTTCATCAGTCTGGCGACGAGCGGATCACAGTACAGCTTAAGCAGCTTGTACATCTCAGCCTCAGGCTGGACGGCAACCACGCTCGCAACACCCTCTGTGATCTCTTCCTGGCTCATGTCGGGAAGCTTGTCAAGAATCTGATCGTAGAAGGTCTGGAGTTGGAGAACTTGGTCGCTAAGAAGTTCTCTGCAATCAGTGCAGAAATACTTGATCGCCATGGCCGCCGCCCTGACAACCTCCTTAGAATCGGTGTGGAAGGAAGAGACAATATAGGTGAATTGCGGCTCAAGGTATTCGCGGTGCTCGGCTGTCCATTCGGTATAGCGGCCTAGAATCATGATGGTTGCGAACCGGAGCTTTTCGTGGTTGGGCACCTCCACCAGGAGAGGCATCAGTTGAGGCAGGACAATATTCTCGTCCTTTGGAACCATTTGGCCCATGGCGCGCATGGCGAATAGGGGTGCCTCGAGCTCCTGCCAGTGCGGTACTACACCAGGGGCCGAAGTGGTGGTGCTTCTCTCCGCTGACCACGTCTTGATGCCATTAAGGACCTTGGTCAGACAGTCCGTCACTCCCATGACGGCGCAGGCATCCTTAAGCGTATCACCCATGCGGTGCCTGAATTCGCGGAATCTTTCCTCGGCCTCACGATCACCCTCGAACAGGTCGTTTTCGTTCCCTTCTGGGTATCGGAGGTGGTTGAAGAGGACGTCCACAAGTTTGCCGTAGACATCCACGAGCTGAAGCCTCGCCTCAATGTAGATATCCAAAACAAGGTACTGCTTGAGCTCGTACCAGAAGTCGAATGTGTGCTCGATGACCTCACGGTCTCGGTCGCGGGCAGCACATTCGAGAACAGCGTCGACGATAGGCCTGAAGTGGCCTGGCTCGCGCACAATGGCTACGACCCATGATTCGGCAGCAGTCGCGAGAATCTTCGTCAAGGCTTCATATGTCTCCGTCTCCTCCTCGGCTACAGCCTTCTCAATCCTAGGTTGCAATTGAAGGATCCGGGAAAGAAGGAGCTGGATGGTGTCTTGGTTATCGTCGACATCTCTTGTCTCTCGGAGGATCGTGCAAACGGTCTCCGCAGCCTCCCTGGGTGAGTCGCCGGAAATGCCATTAAAAATAACGTCGCACAGCGGTGAGCGAACGATGGTATTCACGGGCACCTCGCGCAGCCACGACGTGATGCACTCCATCAGCAGAGGGTCGTCGGCTGGTTTGGCTGTAATCGCGATCAGTCTTGTCTCACGACAGAAGCCCGACCCAGACATACCTGATGCTTGTGCATAGTTGACAAGTAGGTGGACCACTCGTTCCGCATTATCGCCCAGTAGCTCTTTCGTCCTCTCAGACAACTCTTCTTCCTGCCATGTCGATTAGAATGATATCGCCGAAAGCGTCGGCCCAAGCAAGGGCGTTCGAGGAGCACCACAGGAAAGCCGACAGTTGCGCGGTCCACGTACTGATAGGGTGATCTTGCGGCCTTCGGTGACTTCTTCGGGAAGCACGCGAAGGAAGTCGAGAACGGCGGTATGACTCTGGGGTCCTTCCAGTGCCGACACGACGACGGGGAGGACATCCTTCCAGTCTTTCATATGTATAGCGAGGACTGCCAAGCAAACGCAGAGCTGGACTCTGATCGGCCTGAGACCGGATGCATAGTGCTTCAGGAGTAGGAGGATCTGCTCCCTAAGCGCAGGAAGCTCCGAATCCGAAATATCGGTCGAAAGGTCATATGTGAGCTGCCATGCCTTGTTAGCACACACGGCCCCAGGAAGCTTTCCTATTCGATGCAAGTTGCGATCAGACCAACCTTTCCGCGCATCGTGGTGGCTGCAAACAGCTTCGCCTCAGCATCGGCATCAGACTGCAGGATGCCAATGACGAGCGGCCAAGCATCTTTCTGTAGTCCAAGTCAGCGCTTTCCTCTCAGACTTCCACATCCTGGTGACCACCAACCGATTTCTGAAAGCGCTCCAGGTATTCGTGCGCCTGCTTCTTGGCCTCTCGCTCCCCACCGCGCATGGTGACTACCGCCGCAAGCACATTCTCGGGAGTGTACGATCCCTGCGCACCGTTTGCAGCCATGATGGAGGATCGGTCAAGGAGGAATCCAAAGTTGAACTTGACGCAGTAGAGGTAGATATATGTCGGATGAACCACGAGCTATTTGCAAGCCGGGGGGGGATGACGTCGAGGGGTATATGTTGCGTGATGGTCCAGGGTTGCCTGCTGAGCAGCGTCAAAGCTCAGAAACCAGGTCGAGCGGCACAAAGAAAAAGGGTATCGAAAGAGGAGTGTGCTTTTGAGGTGTCTTGGTTGGGTAGGCGAACACAGCCGTCGGAGTAGACACGATACTTGAGCTTAAAAGGCTGTTGTTGGTGGGGAGGTCGCACGGGTCAATGTCACCCCCAGTGGAGGAAAATAAAACTGGATGTTAGGCTGTTGCTGGCGGGGCAGCCAGCCGGCCAAAAGCCAGGTCAACGGGTGCCTGTAGGTGTGTGTGTGTGTGCCTGTGGCTGGAGGGGGAGGCCGCCACAGCTCTAGCGCGGGGTAGTAGGGAAGATAGTCCAGCCGAGACCCGCTCACCTCGGTGAACCTGAACTGGGCGCATTGGGGGGATTTCAAACGTTTTCCAGCTCCAAGCTGGCAGCTGGTTGTATCCTACGATAACGCGACCAACGAACCCCAAGACGAATACCGCCCCCCCCACGTTCTCCGGCGAAGTTTCACCCGATCGAGTCGCGATTGCACTTTGGATCGCAGCGAACAGTTTCACCCCATCCGACTTCAGCATACCAAGATGACCGGTCGCGGAGGCGGTGGTGGTCGCAGGGTGCTCCTACCCCCCATCAACTTCATCTTCAAGCTCTTGCAGCAGCAGGCCACGGTGCAGGTGTGGCTGTATGAGCAGCTTTCAATCCGGATTGAGGGCAAGATTAGGGTAAACACGCATGCGATATCTCTGGGAGCGGAGCAGAGGCTGACGCGTAGCACAGGGCTTTGACGAGTTCATGAACCTCGTCATCGATAACGCTGTCGAGGTCAAGCAGATTACAAAGACAAACAAGGAGGAGACTAGGCGCTCACTGGGTAAGATTGGAGGCACATCGTGCTTGATATGGGACTAACAGTCTGTAGGACAAATCCTCCTGAAGGGCGACAATGTATCGTTGATCCAAAGCTTGTAGCGGCGCACCAAATATGAAGATCAAACTATAGGCGGTTACCACGCGAAACGACCAGATCACGGGATGCGAACGGCGGCGCTTTAGAAAAAAAAAATGATACCATGTTTAAGATTCATCATCGTCGGTGGAGTGCTGATGTGTCTGGGCTGTCAGATGAGGTTTTGATCTCGCCATCACCGAGAACCAGTCCATGGAGATTCTTGTCGTACTGCCCAACAGGGACCGGGCCGCCGGACTCAGGAGAGACAAATTGCTCAGAGAGGGCCAGGCCGTAGAGCTGAACAGCATGAGGCTGCCCGCTTCTGAGAAGTGCCGTTTTGGCCCAGTAACGCTGTAAGAAGAAGTCATAGAAGCCACGTCCATGACCAAGTCTTCTTATTTGACTAGTCTTTGGATCAAGGTCAAAGGCCACACCAGGCATCAGAATCATGTCCAATGTCGCTGACTCAGAATGGTGAACATCTGGTCCTCCTAAAATCCTTTGTCTGTCTTGAATCGTGGTTGGATCGATGCTGGGAATGCCCCATTTGTCTGGCTGCATCGATTCGTAATCCTGGAGATCACGAAGTCGCACCATATCCATAACCCTCGACGGAGCGTCATTCTCGCCAAGCGGTGATTTGTGAAGATATGGTATGAACACTTGTTTCCCGGACGAGAGAGCATGGCGTACGATGGCATCAGTCTGTACCTCGCCAGAGGGCATAGACAGGAAAATGCTGACGCGTTCAGCATTGAGATAAGGGCTGAATGTCTTGAGAGATTCGAAAACACTGCGACCTGATACAGTCAGAATACCGCTTGTATATCAATTCATTCAGGGTAGGCACAGACTTTGTGTGGAAACGGATTCTTGTGTAATGTCTGCAAGCTTCGACTTCATGAGAGTTCGAAGTTGCTTCTTTGCAACAGACAAAGAAGAGCTCATTGCGCCGGCTCGAGCACGCGGCGACGCAGCCAAGAGGATACGAGACTAACGGTGACTCAAGAAATATCCGAGCAAGGTGCAGGATACACAACCGTTGTGCTAGAGACGTCTTCCGGACGGCGATGTCTGTCGTAAGAGTTGCTCGACTTTGGTGGTGAGTCCTCGATGCAGACCTCGACTGGGGTCCAACGTGTGCCCCACATGTTCACTCTCACCTCGGTCAAGGAGAAGGTGGTACTGTAGTCATGAGAGGGGCCACAAAGGCGGATTAGCAGCGTCAGATTCAGAGCCTCAATAGCAATGCCACATCTTGGTGGTTCTTCGCGCAGCACCGAACGAAAGACTGGCAGACATAGGTTTTGGCACGTATCCTCACACAGTTATGATGGACTTCAGTCACATCCACCGAGTTCAAGACCCTTGGGCAGGGGCAGTCGAATAGAAGACGACAAGACGAACCCTCCACCCGGTGCACAGGGGACTCTCATGCGTGTGAGCGGCCTACGATTAGTAGATTAGTAGACATGCAGGGCAACCAATGCAGCGAAGCGCATGACGAGATTGTTGGGTCGTGAATTCTCAGCCCGCATCAACCAGTGGACGAATGAAGGCGCATGCGGACAATTTGCCAAGGCCATGGCATCCCACTCGAGGCTGACATCGTGACATTACCGCGGCCTGGATCGGGTTAGGGGATGTTGAAAGGGGCGTTCGGGTTTCCTGGAGAGGTGCGCTCATGTGATTATGACAGAGTCGGGGAGGGCATGGAGACAAAACAGCTAGCTGTTCCCCCAGCTTTTTACGTGTTCGGATCGAGGCACGATTAGAGTAAGTGCGCTCCGTGAGGCGCGGTCGGAGAAAGTCTTGGTACTGACGGGCCTATGAGACGACCTGTATTTATTCCTCTAGGGGGAAGAGGGGACGACTTTTGGGCGATGTGCAGTGACGAGCAGCCCGTTGACCCCTTGTTGACCCGCTCCCCCAATCTTCACATGGGCATGGAATATGGGAACGTACAGGGATGGAAGGGGGAGTTGGCCGACAGGACGCATCCGAGATGAGCCTAGGCTATGTCGATTCTGAGAAGAACTAAGGATGCATGTAATTACATTCCAGGATTCTTGTTCTCGATGAGCACTTTTCCCATGTGAAGTGTTGTTTTGAGACGCAGACCCTCATCGAGCGGCCGAGATACCCTCGACTGGTTACACATGTTGTTTGGTTTAGTCGTCCCAACAGACATGGAGCGCCAGCTCTATTCAACTCAAATCAACTGCGCCATGCCTCAAGGAGGGGGATCAGCTGGCCAGGCGTTGTTGAGAACGATGGGTATGGCGCTCGCATCAAACAATGACACCGATACTTGCATGTCGCGCGCCTCCCCGGATTGGCGCCTTCATGCCCAGGACGCTAAAACCAATAGAGTTACAGTGCCAAGAGACTGGATGAAATGCGACGAGCCAAGCCATCCAACGGTGAGGGAGCAGTCGTAGAAGTAAGTAGTAACAGGAGGAGGGAGCGAGGCCAGGCCAGGCGGGCTGTACATGTACAGTAGCATCAGATGTCTGGGGTCTGGGGAAGGGAGGGGATAGGCGTTTTGAATTAGCCTCCGTGATGGTAAGATGATCAACCTTGTGTGGGCACAAAGACGGGATCTCGAGGATGCTCTGTCTTCGGCATCGGCCCCAGGCAGATATCAGATTTTAGTATCACGTGTGAGAGCTGCCGATGACGAAGCTAATGGCTTTCGTCGGATGTGCTGGAAAGACCATTCAGCAAGTAAAAGCACCCCGTCTTGCCCATCAAGAGCCAACACGTAAACACGTACGCCGAAGGCCAGCAGTGCATCCACTGAAACCTGGGCGACCATAAGCCGTTGGCTCACCTCAGGTGGGGCACGGCTATCCCCCAAGCCCCCCTGTCCACTGTCTACCTGTAGAGCCCTGGTGCAGCCCCCCCCCCGAGTTTTAAGCCCGGCAAGCCAGAGCCGGTGTTGGGCGCAGCAGCTCCATGGCCTGCCACCTCCGCTTAGCCTCCTTCCGGAACCCAAATACCTCTGGAGTTTGTTTGCAGCCCGCTATCTCCGAGCGCAAATTAAATCGGAAATCACCCGC